ATTACTAAAATTACCCAAAATCTCAAATTACCCCAACAATGTATTTCTTATGGAAAAAATCTTTCAGATGGGGGTACATGGGTTGAGAAGAAATGATGGCGGGACGTTTGAGACTAAATTATCAAAAATGTCTCAATTTACCCTATTTGTCTCATTTTATTCAAGTATCTCAATTTACCCCAATTGTCTCAAATTCCCCACTTATCTTAAAAACCATCAACGAATCATTTTACCTCTATATAGACAAGTAATACTCATTCAATTCTTAGTTACTCGCAGAGTCTTCAAGTTTAAAAATGCCTTTCTACTGTGTGCCCAAACATTTAGTTTGGTTGAGCCTTTTTATCTTGGCATTTGATATAACGTTACTCGTAATAATCTGCTCATATTCTATAATTGAAAGTGGAAAATCAAACCAAACCGGTTACTCATGGCAACCAAAATCACAGATGTGTTTTCATGTGCCAATAAATATTGGCGGGACGACTCAAATTACCCCAAAATTTCTCGAATTGCCCCAAATGTATCAATTTACCCCCTGTGTCATTGATTTTCATGTCTCAATATACCCCAAATGACTAAAACTACCCCCAAAATCTCAAATTACCCCAATAATGTATTTCTTATGGGAAAAAATTTTTCGGTTGGGTGTACATGGGTTAGTAAGAAATGATGGCGGGACATTTGAGACTTGAGGACCATAATAGACGCTATTACATTTTTCACATGCTCCCCAAACGTTAACATTTTCTCCTCTTGGGTTTGGGGGAGTTCTAGAAACTGCATCAATTTTGTTAAGACATTCATCGAATCTTCATTGCTTAGCATCAATTCTACTCCATGAATATGATACTCAGAAAGTGGTTCACCCCAAAAATCTACACGGTCAGGCTTATGCAATGTCCGACACACCTTACAGCATTCACCAGAAGTTCCACTTGCCTGACTTTCTGTATCATCTTCTCCCTCTTCTTCGTCCGAAGACGCGTCTGAACTTGAATCTTGACTGTCCCCTTCTCTACTACAATTTGACAGCTTGTTCCTTCTTCCACCTCGAGATCGTCTTTCTTTTTTTGCTTGGGGTTCATCATCGGAGCTAGTTTAGTTGGAAATGATGTGTCCGCTGAGTCATCCTGGTTCGTTTCAGCATCATCAGAATCAAACAACGTCACTTTGTGAAACCCAGTTTTATGAGTACTTAAAGCCTGTTCAGAATTGAAGTGTCTGGAGCAGCGACTACATTTGTAAACCATCTTAATATCACCTCTCTAGGTCAACTGTCTGACGATAACAGCAATCTCTTCTTTTATACTGGTCCGAAATTATTGAGCCATCTGAAAGATTTTATGATTTGAGGTAAATTCATATGTTTACACATGTAATTACATATGCACACATGTGTACACGCACAAATGTATGCATATGTGCACACACATATGTATACATATGTACACATATGTACACATACATATGTATACATATGTACACATTTTGGCAAATGGGGAGGTGCCTCAAAAGCTCTACCTCCATATGATCAATTGATTTGATTTTCCACCTCACTCAGTCCAACCCTACTTAATTTGGGGGTTAGGTTTAATTAAAATAAAAATTTGATTGCAAAGTATGATAATTAAATATGAATGAGTGGAACGAGGTGCAACTTTAGGCTCAAGTCAAGATTTGAGCCTAAAGTATGAGAGACTGAAGAAGTCTCTCATTTGCACCACGTTGTTTGATTCTGATGATGCTGAAACGAACCAGGATGACTCAGCGGACACATCATTTCCAACTAAACTAGCTCCGATGATGAACCCCAAGCAAAAAAAGAAAGACGATCTCGAGGTGGAAGAAGGAACAAGCTGTCAAATTGTAGTAGAGAAGGGGACAGTCAAGATTCAAGTTCAGACGCGTCTTCGGACGAAGAAGAGGGAGAAGATGATACAGAAAGTCAGGCAAGTGGAACTTCTGGTGAATGCTGTAAGGTGTGTCGGACATTGCATAAGCCTGACCGTGTAGATTTTTGGGGTGAACCACTTTCTGAGTATCATATTCATGGAGTAGAATTGATGCTAAGCAATGAAGATTCGATGAATGTCTTAACAAAATTGATGCAGTTTCTAGAACTCCCCCAAACCCAAGAGGAGAAAATGTTAACGTTTGGGGAGCATGTGAAAAATGTAATAGCGTCTATTATGCAGGCGGCAAAGAATGGAGAAATGGTTGTGACTCGTAAATTACTTACTGATATCGTAAGATCATCTGAAGGTCTCCCAAATGATAATCCATACGCTTGATTACCAGTAAGAAAACGTTGAAACCTACTCAATGCTAAATGAACAACTGTCCACTTCCAAATTACTCAAATAAAAGATCAAAAACCTTCTAATTCTTGTGCAAAGCAACAACATTGTCTTTTAATTCGGCTTAAAAATCAAGTGGTTTTAGTGTTTTGTTGTTAACGCAATAAAGTTAAAGGGAGATAATTTTTCTAAAAGTTTGTGTGCTGTGTACTTAGGCACTGCCTGACCTACATATCCCAACTTTACTTATGATAATAAATAAATGGGAAAGGTTTACATTAGACAAGAACCCAGTCAAATTTACTGCGCATAATAAATAAACACACAATTTTAAGAATTATTTAACAAATCTTTGACAATAAATGCTAATTATAAATACTTCTGATCTGTTATTTCATCTCATTACTGCAAACAATTTTCATATATAATTTTTCATGTTTTTAAAACAATAAGTTTTTTCATGCGTGAATATCATATTTTCACAAATAACGCTATACTTTTGTAGATAAACCTTCATAAGTACTATTTTAAACGTTGGTGAAAAATTGTGTCATCATTAGTATCACCACTAGCTTCAGAAAACGTTTCACTCTACCTTTTTTCAATCTTTTTCTCGTAACTTGCTTATTAGTATCAACACTACCACCAACAAAAAGGTCGAACTCCACCTTTTCAACCTTTTCTATCCATAATAAAACGTAAAGCATAGGAGGGGACATAACAAATACTGGCATACCCTTACATGATGACTTACTACACCATACACATACCTTGGTCTCATAACAAAGGTGTCTATCCTTAAACGCTATGGGAATAAGTTCTCCCATAAGAAATGTATTGTAAGGAAGAGCCGTTGGGCGGAGCCGTAGAAAAGGCTCGGGGTAATTTGGAATATTTGGGGTGCTTTGAAATATTTAATTGGGGTAAATTGAGGTATTTGGATAAATTGGGATACTTGAATAAATTGAGACAAATGGGGTAACATGAGACATTTGGGCGTAAATTGACACACTTGGATAATTTGGGAGAATATAAATTGAGACCTCAAGTCTCAAATGTCCCGCCATCATTTCTTACTAACCCATGTACACCCAACCGAAGGATTTTTTCCCATAAGAAATACATTATTGGGGTAATTTGAGATTTTGGGGGTAGTTTTAGTCATTTGGGGTATATTGAGACAACATGAAAATCAATGACACAGGGGGTAAATTGATACATTTGGGGCAATTCGAGAAATTTTGGGGTAATTTGAGTCGTCCCGCCAATATTTATTGGCACATGAAAACACATCTGTGATTTTGGTTGCCATGAGTAACCGGTTTGGTTTGATTTTCCACTTTCAATTATAGAATATGAGCAGATTATTACGAGTAACGTTATATCAAATGCCAAGATAAAAGGGCTCAACCAAACTAAATGTTTGGGCACACAGTAGAAAGGCATTTTTAAACTTGAAGACTCTGCGAGTAACTTAGAATTGAATGAGTATTACTTGTCTATATAGAGGTAAAATGATTCGTTGATGGTTTTTTAAGATAAGTGGGGAATTTGAGACAATTGGGGTAAATTGAGATACTTGAATAAAATGAGACAAATAGGGTAAATTGAGACATTTTTGATAATTTAGTCTCAAACGTCCCGCCATCATTTCTTCTCAACCCATGTACCCCCATCTGAAGATTTTTTTCCATAAGAAATACATTGTTGGGGTAATTTGAGATTTTGGGTAATTTTAGTAATTTGGGGTAATCAGAGACACCAGGATAATCTATGGCACGGGGGTAAACTGAGATATTTGGGGCAATTTGAGAAGTCCCGCCATTATTTTTCGACACATGAAAATACATCTGAGACTTTGGTTACTATAAGCAGTCAGCATATCCTTGCAATACATACCCATGCTATAAAGGCCTTGTGGCGAGAAGCCCTAACCGTCTTTTTCCCTCATAAGGCAATGTATGGTGGCGAGAACCCGTATTTTTTCCCGTAAGGAAAAGTATGTGGCGAGGAGCCCTCTTTTTCCTCATAAGAAGTGTGTGATGAGGACCCGTCTTTTTTCCCATAAGAAATAAAGTGGGTGAGAAATCCGTGGCTTCTCCCATAAGAAATAAAGCGGGCGAGAAATCTTTGGCTTCTCCCATAAGAAATAAAGCGGGCGAGAAATCTTTGGCTTCTCCCATAAGAAATAAAGCGGGCGAGAAATCTTTGGCTTCTCCCATAAGAAATAAAGCGGCTATAAGCAGTCAGCATATCCTTGCAATACATACCCATGCTATAAAGGCCTTGTGGCGAGAAGCCCTTTTTTTCTCAAGTATTCAATTCAGTTTTAAACTTAATCCATTTCTAGTAAATAAATAAATAATGATACAAAACTAGTTTCATCTTCAAGGTCACAGAAATATGTCAAAAACTTAAGTCTTAAAAAAATATCGAGTCAATAATGAATAACGAAAAAAAAGAATTGCTAATTCATAAATACAAAAAACTAAATACTAATCCACTAATTTTGGAATTAATTGGATGTAAACGTTTAATTAGGATTATTTGAGCTAAAATGGAAACTAAACAATGAATATTTTCGCTTCTTCTTCGGTATTAATTAATTTTAATTGCGATTATTAAGCCACTAATTTACTTGCTGCGTGTGAGTTAGTAAAAATCTTCTGTTCTGCATGTGTCATTCTTCGTTAGTAAGTACTAAGTATTGCGTTCATTAGTGAACTTTTTTTCACGCATTGTTATCCCCTGCCCCCATTTTCCTGTCGAGATCTTTGAGGATGCTTGGCGTCGGACTGGCGCTGTTTCCTCTGTGTCCTTCTTCACAACTGCTGTTGCTGCGTCCACTGCTGCGACTGGCGGAAATGTCCGAGTCGACTCTTCGTACCGGGCTTGATGGCGTTGATAGATTGGGGCGAGGATGAAAAAGTTGGAGATGAAGATCCCACCCCCAGCGATCCAAAATGACCAGGCGTACTTTCCCGTGTAGTCGTAGAGGAGGCCTGCACAGGGAGAAATGAGGGGTTAGCACCAGTCACAAATTCTAGTCAAATTTATGAAGAAATGAATGTAAAATACCAGCAATGGGTGGTCCGATCAGGTTTCCGATCCCTTGCACAAGTAGGAGAAGACCGTACGCGGGGGTAAACTTTTCCAAACTGACGACCTAAACGTTAAGCAGGTAATTATTAGTTATCATTCACTTTCACTAATTAATTACGTGTGGCTATAATTTTTTCTCTCGTTACTTGAAGTAGGATGACGGGTGTGAGTGAGTAATTTGCCGCAATCATCAAGCCAAACACGCCGCAGAGCAAGACGAGGAAGTAGTAGGTGAGCCCCATGCTGAACAACTTCCCAAAGAGGCAGGGCATCAGGCCGGTCACGATGCCGCAAATGGAAATACACAGGCCATAAATCGTCACGGAATTTGCCACTTCTTGTCCCCCAAATACCCCAAATTATCTGCAAAACGAAATCACAAATAAAAGTTGAATAATAATAATTAATACTTAATTTCCTAATTTAACGGATTAAATTTCTTTACATTTCCGAAACGGTTAAAAGTCCGATCGTACTTCCCAACATGGCTCCTTCTCCTTCCGAGTAGCCCAAGCCCGTGGCAGTGTCGGCAAGAAAGGTCAATGGGATCTCATACCTGGGAGGCAAAGAGGAAATGTGCATAAGTACTTATCCCCAATTTTACTTGGCGCACTCTCCACCCACCACAATTTACTTACCACATGTACAAGAGAAAATTCGACATGATGAACAAAACGAATCTGGTATTTTTCAAGTGATCCAGGGCAAAGATTTCTTGCATCCAGACGTAAATATCCTGCAGGGCGGCTTTCCACTCCTAAAATTCAATTACAATCACTCAATAATTCTCCTCGACTAAATTAACCCGAATAATAAATAACTCACGGGGCGTATTATCATCCGCCGTGGCTACCGAAATGATATCCGGACATGAACGTCGCAGGTCGGAGGGGGCGCATTCGGCTTCTCTTCAAATTCAGCACTGGCGCCACGATACGTTAAAGAATTGCGATGATTCCCCCAATTCCTAGTCATTAGTCATTATTAAAATAATTAATCAATCAATTAGCTACTTATTCATTAAACCTGGACCCACATACATACCTCGTATGCTGCACAAGATTGTTTCTCATCCCCTGCTTCTCCAATGTGCTCATGTTTCCTGCTCCTCCGTTACAACTGCTGTTTACGCCATTCTTCTCATTGTTTGGTGATGGCGACGGCGACGACGTCACTTCTCCTTTTCCATTAGTCTTATTACTACTCTGATTATTGCTGAATGGTTTTGTATTCATTTGTTGGAGATGAGAATTGAGATTGTTGTGGTGGTGAAAGTCACACAAGTTATTGGCTGACTTCTTGACCTCCCGTAGTTATTGGAATTATTGTTATTGTTCGCGACGGCGACGACGAGGAGGGGCGAGTCGCTTTCATTTCCTCCATCATCATCATCTTGTCGTCTTTTATGATAGCTTGGCCCCTTCGTCGTCGACGCTGTCTTGCCCACCACTCTCACTTTTGTCTTCATTACTGAGATCATTGTTCTCTGCACGAGGTGGGACAGGGGCCGGAACGAGGATAGGACCACCTCCAGAGGTGAAACCTCCGGCATAATTATTCGAATAGTAGCGAATCCCTTTTCCTCCTCCTCCTCCATTTTTGACGTAGTGGGACGTGCTGTTGTTGTTCTTGAGACAAAGCTGCTCCGCTTCACGGACAAATGTGGGATACAAACTGCAGAATTGCAAAGTCTTTCAGATTTCTAGAGTCCAATCAAGGAGTTCCTCCTCCTCCTCCTCCTTCAGGGATGGAGTACATTCCACCCCCTGCTCCATTCAGGCTAGGTCAGCAAAGATTAGGATGATTAAGATATCTTCAAATTATGTTAGTAATCAATAAAGGTTATCAACCTACTTTAGTTGAGTCTGAGTATTAAGGTCGTGCTCATTCTGGAGAACCTTTTCCCTCTTTCGACTACTCTTCTTGCTCCATTCCAAGTCTTTCATGAGGATAGCACAGAAGCAAAGGCTAAATAAAAACACCCGGCGTCCACCAACAAGGTCACTCTCCAGCTGGTCGCTTCTGCAAATCACGAAAATCATCTATTAATTAATTAATTAGTAATTAATATTCTCTACTTCCGGACTCACCAATGAGATAGGAATTCAGGGGCCAAACATAAAAGTTCCAATCCCACCGCCACACATGGACAGGCCCGGCGCGAGTGAGCGTCTCTTATCAAAATAATAGGCCACTATCACAACCGCCGCCACGTAGCACAGCGACAAACCAAATCCCGTGATCACTCCGAACGCCAAAATGAGCATGTGAATTGAAACTGCAATTGCAAAGCAAGAGTTAGTTAATTAATTAATTACTAATAATAATTGACTTTTAAATGTGTATAAAATTCGACAAATTGGGTATTAAAATGTCAATTAACTTGTAATCAATCATCATGTAAATAAATCAGAACTTACTGGCATAATACGACCAGATAAATCCCAGCGTAGCCAGAATTCCACCCACAATGGTGCAATTCCTACAACCATAGCGATCCGTGAGGGTGGACGCGATGGGGCCTGACAGCAAGGGCATCGACGCCAAAAGACTGCCAGCCCAGGTCGTCGTCGTGCTTTTCGACGTCCCAAACTCCTTCTGGATTATGGGGAGGAACACGCCGTAGGAAAATGTGACCCCGTCAGCCATCAGATTTATGAAAAGACTACAGCAACAACCACCCAACTAGACAAGCAGAAAGTTAAGTTGGGCCAATAATAATTATGACGACCAACTTCTAATCTTATAAAGATTTAAAAATAATCGCTGTAACCAGAATATTCGGACAAAAACAATAAAGTTAACAAAATCATGGTTGGCTCCAAACTGGAGTCTCATTTTTCTCCTCTTGCTTTCTCTCTCTCTCTCTCCATATAACAATTGCTTTTTTTGTGCCATATTGCAATCTCATCAAAATTTTATAAATTTGCCAAAAAGTGCCTAATTGATCCAGGTAAGTTTTATTGCTGTATTTGATGCATTATCAAATATTAACCACAAATTTGTAGAGCAGGTGGGTTTCAAATTTTTAAAAAAAATATACACTCCAGATTTTGACACCTTTTTTGAGAGAGGCGTTGTCAATTTTAAGAATCTCTCATAAAAACTGCAACTTTTAAAAATTAGTCAAAAAACTCATCACCATTTAATTAATGACCTCACTGACTATAAATTTGTCGTTCATAATTTTAAAATAAATTCCCAGAGCGGAGAAATGATTAAAAATGTGCCGATTTTCCTGATTTTGGTAATAATTTAATAAAAATGTATCAAATTACAGCAAAGTGACCAGGCAATTTGTCCCATCCTTTCCTCCAGAGACATTTTGGAAATCGGTTAAAAGGTAGGTAAACCTATTTTTATAAAAAACTTTCTAGTTTTGAGAATGAAAACCAAAGTCACTTCACACCCGCACAATTTTTATTTGGATAACATTCTCAGCGTTTGTAGAGCTGATTTATCCGGGTCCACGGTCCAAGTCCGGTGTTTTTACTCCACCCTCTCGCGGAGTGGGAGGTGCTCAAATTTGAAAAAACAGGGCTTTCTGCGAGTTTTAGCTTAAAGGCGGGTCAATATTTTGAAACGGTTTTCGCCAAACTTTTCCTAATTTTTATCTCTACAACCCTTTTCGAGCGCTTTTTGAAATGCTCCCAGCGGATGTCACGATTAAAGTTATGTCATAAAATTGAGACAAATATATATAACACTAGCGAATAAGCCCTTCTCCTGTCGGTGAGCGTTTATTCCATCTTTTTCACATTTGTCCACTGGTTGTCATTTGCTGAAACGGTTATCATATTTGGTTAGAATTCAAAATGTAATTTTAAGATGTAAAAAGAGAATGGATTGAATTTGGTCGTAGTTGCAAATTTTGTGCAATTTCACTTTCGTTGCCGACAGACATTTCCAGCTTATAATATAGATGTTTAACACCAAATTTTAAACTTCATAATTAAGCCTCTTAGTCAGTTAGCGTACAGACATCCTACCTTATGTAGCCAAATTTGACTTGCATCAATTGGTATATTCAGTGGCGTGGGTAAATAGTGCAAAAAACTAATTTAATTCCTTTATGCGCGTGAAAGTCAAGTCAATAAATCCGAACAGACGGAAATCGATATATGAGTTGAGTAATTAAAGCTGCGTAGTTGAAAATATTTTTCTACTAGCATATAAGCCGTCTCCGCCGGGCGAGAATTTATTTGATTACCAAGGAAATAAAATGGGATTGTGCACAATCACCACATTACTTTTGAAAATTTCACCGTCTTTCGTTTTAACAATATGAAGATATTAATGCACCTAAAAATCGGTAATTTTTAGGCTTACATAGTTAGGAGATAAAATTTTGATTTTTTCTTCAACAAGAAGATAAATATAAAATAGATGAAAAATAATCAGATAAATTTAAATATTTCCTCATTGAAGAAAAAATCAAAATTTTTATCTCCAACTATGTAAGCCTAAAAATTACC